GTGTGTGGTATATGTATGTAGGTGTGTGTGTGTGTGTGTGGTATATGTATGTAGGTGTGTGTGTGTGTGTGTGTGATAGTATTTGTAGTTGTGTGTTTTGTCTGCATGCACGTCTATGGACCACATGTGTACCTGCTGCCCACAGAGGCCATAAGAGGGCATCAGATCACTTAAAATAGGAGTTAAAGATGGCATGGGAGCCACCATGTGGGTACTGGGAGTGAACCCTGATCTTCTGTAAGAGCACTCGGTGCTCTTAACTACTGAGCCATAGAGAACTAGCCCAGGAACTAGCATTCCCTCCCCCTAATGTTTGATTTCCTTGTTCTTGTAATACTAATTCACCATTTTGCTGTTGTGGTAAAGGTCGTACTCATTCTATTAGAACAATGAAGTTCGTTCTGATTAATGAATTACAAATAAAAGCCAATAAAATTTGTCATAATTTTGACATCACTGCTGATACTTTTTTCTTCTTTCAGTGCTGGTTACCAAATCCAAAGCTAGCAAGGTGTGGTGGTGCACATCTTTAATCTCAGCATTTGGGCCTGTGAGTTTGAGGCCATCCTGGTCTACATAGTGAATTCCAGGACAGCCAGAGCTTCACAGAGAGGCCCTGTCTCAAACACAAAACAAACAAACAAAAAAAAAAAAACCACCAAAGCCTCCCCGTGGTAGGCAAGCACTCTACCTCTGAGATTGCAGACTATTATTTTCAGGGGATTAACAGAGTCCCTGGTGGAAATCTACAGCACGAGATTATCAGGAGACAATGTCATGAATATAGCTAAAATGTGCACTCAAGGAGCAAGATGACAGGCTATGAGGAGGACAGGACAAGTACCAGTGTGATAAGCAGCTCACTGGCTAAATCTGAAATGGCTTCTTTTTCAACTTCACTGTTATTTATAAACCAGACTTGCCAGGTGTGGAGGGCCACACTGATCTCTCTAATGTCCTCCCTTCCTCATCCATGTGTAGTAGTCTGGATAGCTAGTTCCTATGGTAGCAGGGACGGGATTGGCAGGAGAGAAGGAATTCACCCTTGAGGCCAGAATTGCAAAACTAAGTTTATTGTGTACACTGCAAGAGGACAGTGGGCAGGGAAGTAACCAGAGTACTGACAATGGTTTGAAATACTTTCTTCTTAAACCACAATACTCACTGAACACATTTTGAAGTTTCAGGTAAGTATAATAAAAGAATGATACAAAATTACAAACTGCATTTGGTATGGCTAATGTCTACAGAGAAATAATAAATATGACCAGTGACAATCTTAGGTTCAATAGAATAAGTAGAATACCAAGTTATTCTAGAGGCATGACTCAGTGTGGCTAAAGATTGACTGCTGAGTCTGAAGACTTGAGTTCAGTCTCAGGATCACATGGTAGGAGAGAACCAACTCTCTTTTCCAGCCCAGCCCAACTTCCGATCCTTTGTTTCTACCTCCAACTAACAGGTGAGTATCACCATGTCCAACTGTGTGGGTGCTGTAGGTTGATCCAGGTTTGTTCACAGTATTGTGGATTCTCTAAGCTCCATTGGAGCTTCACCCAAATTCCACAGGCATTTTCACTATGTATTTATGCAGAATACTTTCATCTGAAGGTTCTTTTGGCAAGGATGAGTTCCCACAGTAGAACTTTATACTTGAAAGTTGTTACCTCAAAGAGAAACAACAAAAACAGCCAGCTGTAGTAACACACACATTTAATCTCAGTACTTGGGAGGCAGAAACTACCAGATCTTTGTGAGTATGAGGCCAGCCTGGTCTACATAGTGAGACCTTGTCTTAATGCACGCCACCCCCAAAATAACAACCACCACAAAAATCACCTCAGAAGTTAAAAGCACTCAAGCGTGGTGGCACACACCTTTAATCCCAGCAGTGGAGAGGCAGAAGAAGGCAAACATCTGAGTTCAAGGCCAGACTGATCTACAGAGAGAGTCCCAGGACATGAAAGGCTTGACAGAGGAATCCTGTCTCAAAAATAAATAAATAAATAAATAAATAAATAAATAAATGGGAGAGAGAGAAGAAGAAGAGGAAGAGGAGGAGGAAGAAATAATTATGTTGTAGTCTAACATAATTTACTGAAGGACCAATGGCTACTTTCCTTCTCAAAAAGGGAAATAAAAGTCTTGCTGTAGACAAGACATCTCAGCACACAGAGCTTGGATGCTTTTTCTAAGGATAATCTGAGCAGTGCTAAGTCCTGGTGCTGAAACCGCAGACAAACAAAACTTGGAGGAGCTTTCCCATTCTAGACTAGGGTGGCACACAAACAGACAGGACACAGATTCTCCACTGTGTGTTCTTCAGATGGCCTCAGCCAAGATCACTTCAATCTTGGGCAGTATTTCATTCTGTCTTTCTGTAGAATTGTGTTAGTGACAAAGACAGCATTGTTTATTCCAGAAATAGGGGGCTCAGGAAGATCCTATAGATAAGGGTGGCATTAACTGGTGGCACAGTTGAGAGTACCTACAGCATGATGACAGTACACATAAACTGTATCAGCCATTGGGATAACCCTCACCATGCCCATTAAAACCATGGGTTCGCTGTATTTGCTTTCTCTTCACCAATCAAAGCAAATTCTATGTTCAAGCTGTCATGGCCTGTTGGTTTCCCTGCACCCAGGGAAGGGTGGTACAGTTCCTCCACTCAGTGATGTTCCCAGGAATCTACTGTGAAATAGCAGGCTCTTGCAGATATCACCTACAGGATGTAACAAACCCTTGGATCTGAGGCCTGTGGGCCAAGGTGACAATGACAATGTGATTGATCCCGTGACCAATGCTGTGTTAAGTACCAAATCTGAAGCAATCACAGTATGACTCTCCTTTTTAACTTGCAGGGAAGACAGGAGCCTGGGCCACAGCAATGACCCTTCATGGGACAATCTTGCGCGCACTTTGATGATGATGAATGGCTCCTTCGAGCTGTGCTTGGTTTCCCTAAGCCCATTTGGTAATATGCACATTTCCCCTCTCTTGCTTTCTTCCATCATGACAATGGTTTCCTGGTAAACGTCTTAGTGACAACCTTGCCCAATTCCAGGCCAGGATCAGTCATTTGCTGGGACAGGTCCTGGTATAAGCTATCACTCAAGAAGGCAATGCCAGGTACTGTAGATGATTGTTGCAATGGTTTTCTTTGCTAGCCAAGGCTTATTGGATTACACTTTTATTACAAGTTATTTTGTTGTTGTTGTTGTATGACTCAAGATCTCACGCATCCTAAGCTGGCCTCAAACTCCTTATGTAGTAGAGCAGTGGTTCTCACTCTTCCTAAGGCTGAAACCCTTTAATGCAGTTTCTCATGTTGTGGTGATCCCAATCATAATATTATTCTCATTGTTACTTCATAACTATAACTTTGTGACTGTTAAGAATTGTAATGTAAATATCTGTGTTTTCTAATGGTCTTTGGTGATTCCTTTGAAAGGGTCAATCAATCTCAAGAGGGGAAAAGTGCTCGTAACAACCCACAGGTTGAGAACTGCTGTGGTAGAAGATGGCCTTGACTTCTGAGCCTTCTTCCATTTCCCCAGTGGTGAGATCACAGCCTCCACTGCCCTGACAAGCCTTTTTGCTTCTTTGTTTGTTTGTAACAGGGTCACCCTATTTAGTAGGATGGCCTGGAATTCATTTGTAGACCAGGTTGTCCTACATGAAGTCATAGAGATCCACCTGCCTCTGCCCTCGAACTGCTAAGATTCATTCTAAGGAGTAAACTACTACACGCAGACAAGTTCTCACTGGTTGTCCCAGGATGGACTTGAATTTGCAGTCTTCCCTTCCAGCCTTGGCCTCCCAACAGCTGGCATTTTGTTTTGTTTTGTTTTATTTTATTTTCAAGATAGGGTTTCTCTATGTAGCCTGAGCTGTCCTGGAACTTGCTCTATAGACCAGGCTGGTCCTCCAAGTCAAGAGATCCCCCTGCCCCTGCCTTCCAAGAGCTAGCACTAAAGGCATATGACACTATGGCCCAAATCAAGAGATGGGATTTGAACACTGGGAAGTGGTGGTGCATGCCTTTGATCCCAGCACTCGGGAGGCAGAGGCAGGCGGATCTCTGTGAGTTTAAGACCAGTCTGGTCTACAGAGTGAGTTCCAGGACAGGCTCCAAAGAAACCCTGTCTCAAAAAGCAAGCCAAAAAAAAAAAAAAAAAAAAAAAGCAAGAAAGGAAGGAAAAGAAAAAGAGATGGTATTTGATATTTTGATATTTGAGACATGTGTCTTCATGTCTGTCTTAAGAAAACTTTCTTAAAAATTGTTAAGTGTAGGGACAGCCACAGGGACACTCTTAAAGCTGAACAAAACAGAAAGTCTTTATTGCCAGCCAGCGCTTCGTGGGGAACTTTCCAAAAAAGCAGCCCCAATCCTTACAGTTGTCTTTTATGCTAAAAAACAAACAAACAAAACCCTACATCCTGGTTGACACATTTTGGTTAGCATAAACAGACAGGGAGAAGCAGAGCTACAGAAGCCAAACATCGAGGTTAGTATATTTATAGGGGCTTTTCTGGATTTTGAAACCAGGGACCAGGTATTTGATGGATTTTGGCAGGTGTTGGGGTCTATGTGTTGGGTTTTAAGGTCAGAATGGTGCCTCTAACATGGTTAGTTGTGCTAAGGTCTGGAGGCCCATTACATAGTCACTCCAGCATTACCGGTTATTATACACATACCATTAGAACAAATAGAATTAAGTTCACTTTTCAATACTTACAAATTTCAAATATTCGATTTGGTTTGGTTGTTTTATTGAGACAGGGTCTCATGTAGCCAGGCACATCTTAAACTCATCAGGGAGCCAAAATGGCCTATGATCTCCCCCACACACACCTCTGTCTCCTGGGTGTTGGGATTATTGGCTTGTGGCACCATGACTGGCTCAAAGATTCACTATTAAAGCCACATTTTCTTTCCAACTTTCACAGACTATTTTCCATCCCCTCTTCTTTCCATTTTGCTTAAATGTCTGCAGAACAGTTTATGACCACAGTGTTCCAACCCGCTATAATGGCCTGAGCATGGGAGCTGCAGACCAGTGCTCCATGGCTGGCCAGGCTCCCCAGTCTTCACTCAGGAACTTTGAGATAAGCACAGAAGTGGACTTCAGCATCTAAGTGGGCTCCAGCTACAAGGGATCCAGGTGGTCTCCTTCATCTGCAGAACCTCGGGGCTACAGATACTGGGTGAAACTTTCCCTTTGATTAGTACAGGACTCCAGAATGACTCTGTGCCACCTGGCTGGGCAGCCAGAAAGGGCTAAAGCCACTTTGTAAAAGCAGACAATGTGTTCTTCTGCCCTTGTGGCACTTGCAATGTATGTGAACAGCTACCTCTGTCTACTGCATTTTCTTCTTTTAATTCTGTTTCCCCCTTTGCTAGCAGATAAAGGCCTATGGTGATATTAGTATTTTTCTTTAGCTTACACACATTAACTGAAAGTTGTGAGTTGACTTTAGTAGTAACCATTGAATCCTAATAATCTTTCCAAACATCATATTCCCAGGCAGTAGTTCAGTGGTAGCATGCTTGACTAGCATGCAAGAGGTCCTGAAGTCTTGAGTACCATAAAAACAACAACAACAAAAAATGCATTCATGTTCACTGATATTCTTTCTACTTGGCACAGACACATGCATGGGTATCTATCTGTGCCACTGCGATTGGATGAAAATCAAAGGACAAGTTTCAGGAATTGATCCTTCAAGCATGTGGTTCCAGCCATGGAACCCAAGGTATCAGGCTTGGTAGCAAGCACCCTTTCCACTGAGTCATCTTGCAGGTAGAAACTAGGAAGTTTTTGGTTTTGTTTTTAACAAAGACTCACTGTGCAGCCTCAGTTGCCTTGGAGCTCACTATGTAGACCAGCCTGGCCTCAAATTTATAGAGGTCCACTTGCATCTGTCTCCAGGGTGCAGGGACAAAAGGCATATGCCATTACACTTGTGAAAAACAAAAATAAAATAGTTTTGATGCCGGGCATGGGCATACCTTTAATCCCAGCAGTTGAGAGGTAGAGGCAGGAGGATCTCTGTGTTGGAGGTCAGCCTGGTCTATAGAGTAAGTCCAGGACAGCCAAGCTGTCTCAAGAAACCCTGCCTCAAGAAACCAAACCAAAACAACAACCACAACAAAAATTTTTGATAATACTTTTTCTAAAGATGTTTCAAAAAAATCAAGGTGTGAATAAATGTTTGATTACTATTTGCCTCAGCTGAGACAATCCATGCTTTATTACCAAGAAAATAAAGTTCAGATCTGGGTAGTGGCTGACATTTTCATTTTAGTTAGAAAGACAAGAGCCGGGCGTTGGTGGCACACACCATTAGTCCCAGTACTAGGGAGGCAGAGGCAGGCAGATCTCTGTGAGTTCAAGGCCAGCCTGGTCTACAGAGCTAGTTATAGGTCAGGCGCCAAAGCAATACAGAGAAACCCTGTCTCAAAAAAAAAAAAAAAAAAAAAAAAAAAAAAAAAACAATAAGACAAGAGTGAAACAATGAGAAAGTATTTAGAACTCATTCCTCAATGACACATGCTCTTCTCTGCATAATTACTAAGTAGCTCACCAACATCTGCAAGGTCTCTTGGCTTCTTGAAAAGTAATGGCTGCTCCTGCTGCCTTTCTACTCAATTCCATTTCGTTATCATTTTCTCTACCAGCCTACTGCCAAGCAAAGCCCTGAGTTTAGTCCCCATCACTGTGGAAACCACAGCAACTGGGTGTTTTCATGTCCAATGCCCCAGCACTTGTGAGGTAGAAGCAGGAAGACCTGAAGCCAAAGTCATCTCTGGCTACATAGTGAAATCAAGGCTGAATACAGGAGACCTTGTCCCTAAATAAATAAATACTGGATCACAGTGATAAGCATTCTCTATGTATGCCTGTGGTTACTTTTGCAGTGAGAGATGAATAACTGTTACAGAGTCTTTATATTAGAAAAACCTAAAATATTTACTAGTTGTCCTGTTTTGTTTCATTTGTTTGAGACAGTGTTTCACTATGTAGCCCTAGCTAGCCTAGAACTCACTCTGTAGACCATGTTGGCTCAGAATTTAGACAGCTGTCTGCACTGCCTCTGTCTCCCGAGTGCTGGGATTAGAGATGTGCACCACAAAATATTTGCTGACACTTGGTCTAGAAAAATTTTAAAAAACAATAAAGGAAGTCCTGCACATGGTGTGTGTCAGTCTGTCTGTCTGTCTGTCTGTCTTTCTCTGTGTGTGTATGTGTGTGTGTGTGTGTGTGTGTGTGTTATATATATACTGGTACAGAAATGCAAACCTGTGGCAGTCAGAGGACAACTTGCAGGGTTGTTTCTCCGATTCCACCATGGGATAGAATTCAAGTTGTTGGGTAGAAGTGCTTACTCCAGTTGAAGAGAGGGTGGAGGGATTATATGAGCAAAGGGGTGGGTAGGTCTATATCATGACAGGGAAACCCACAGAGACAACTGGCCTAAGCTTGTGGGAGCTCACAGACTCTGGACTCTGGATGGACAGCTATGAAGCCGGCATGGGACCAATCTAGGCCCTCCACATCTGGGTGATAGTTGTGTAGCTTGGTCTTTTGTGGGGCCCCTAGCAGTGGGACCAAGATCTATCCCTGATTCATGAGATGGCTCTTTGGAACCTATTCTCTATGGTGGAATGCCTTGTTCAACCTTGATGCAGGGGATAGAAGGTTGGTCTTACGTCAACTTGACATGCATGCTTTGTTGATTCCCATGGGAGGCCTTACCCCATCTGAACGGGAGGAACAGAGGGTGGAAGAGAGGTTGGGGAAGGGAATGGGAGGTGAAGAGGAAGGGAAAACTGTGGTTGGTATTTTTAAAAACTATGAATTAAATAAAAAAAAAAAAAGTGCTTGCTTTTACCAGCTGAGCCATCATGGGCTTGGAATTTGCTTGTTAAGAATGGTTGTAATAAGCAAGTGGCAGCACTGCACACCTTCAAAGCCAGAATCAGAAGGCAGAGGCAGGGCCAGGGGCAGACTAAGTTTTGAGTCTGAGTTGGAGGCCAGCCTGGTCTACAGAGGGAGTTCCAGGACAGCCAGGGCTACAGAGAAACACTGTATCCAACAAACAAACAAACAAGCATAAAGAATGGTTGTACTAAAAACTGGCTCATAAAATCCTGACACAGCACTGCAAATAAAGACCTCTCGTGCTGTACCACAACCTATGCCTTCTAAATGACCCTTTGGGAATTACTGGTCTACTAGGTGAGTGGCCGAAACAAGATTTGAACCCAACACCCCAACACAGGTTACATCTCGTAGTTGGTTTCTTTTTGTTTGTTTGTTTGTTTTGTTTTGTTTTGTTTGTTTGCTTTGTTTTTTGTTTCTTCTGGAGGGTAGATTCCTTAATGACTTGGTCTTACATTTGTTTAATTTCATTGTTTTGTTTTGTTTTTCAAGAAAGGGTTTCTCTGTAGTTTTGGAACCTGTCTTGGAACTCACTCTGTAGATCAGGCTGGCCTCAAATTCACAGAGATCCTCCTGCCTCTGCTTCCTGAGTGCTGGGATTAAAGGCATTTGCCACCACTACCCGGCTGGTCTTATATTTTTATTGAGGGGGTTCCATATGCAACAGAATCCATTAACTTTAGTACAACCCCATACTCTCTTTAAAAATAATTTATTTCTTTTTATTTTATGTGTATTGGTGTTTTGCCTGCATGAGTGTCTGGGTGACAGTGTCAGATCCTGTGGAGTTACAGACAGCTGTGAGCTGTCATGTGGGTGCTGGGAATTGAACCCAAGTCCTCTGGAAGAGCAGCCACTGCTCTTAACCACTGAGTCACCTCTCTAGCCCTGCTATTACAGACTCTTTAACATTCTTCTTCTTGTTGGGTCCTAGCACCCAAGGCCCTAGTCTTTTCCTGATTTGGTTTTTGACATGGTCTGGTCTTAGTCTACCAAGTGCTGGTGCTTATGGGTTAGGGATTGAGACTGCAGTCTTGTGTATGCTAGGCTAGCACTCTATTGCTGAGCTATAGTCTCAGCTCTTATTCATGCTTGATGGCATTAAAGCAAAATAAGCAGGCCATTAGCCTAAGGTTATTTTTGTACCAGAAAGTCTTTCTAACTGATTAATTCTAAAGTGAGACAGCCATTCACAGATAGCCAACCAGTCAATTGGTTATATAACTAGGGAGCTGCCATGTGACCATATCAAATAAGGCAAAGCCTAGCTGTAGCCAGTATCATTACTTCCTTGTTCAGCTTATAAAGCTTTTTCCCAGGCTGTTAGAGTAGTTTGCTGCTTTTCTATTCAAAAAATATTTATACTACTTTTTAAATGATTCATTTTTATGTGCATTGGTGTTTTGTCTGCATGTGTATTTGTGTGAGGGTGCTGGAGCCCCTGAAACTGGAGTTAGAACATGTGAGCTTCCATGTGGGTGCTGGGAATTGAACTGGGGTCCTGTGGAAGGGCAGCCAGTGCTCTTGACCACTGAGCCATCCCTCCAGCCCCTTTAAAAAAACTTTTAATGCTTGAATAAATTGTTGATTTTCCCTGGAGTTTTTCTTAAATACATTTAACTGAAATTGGCGTAGATATTTAGATATTTGAATTTAGAGACTATTCTGTCATTGGAAATTGTTCATCTCCTTCAAACATACCAACTATGTTCTGTAGTTTTGTTGTTGTTAGTCATTGTCACTCTACAACGCAGGCTGTCCAGGTAACCATTCTACCTCAAACTTACAGCTGCTAGGAGGAAGGTCATGCATCTTTGTGCCCTCTGTCTTTAGGACTATCATACAAATTGTTTTACCATTAGCCCTTGTAAAACATCAATGCTTACACGAAAAGCCTCAGAATTCCCTCCTTTCATTTGACACTTTTTTTTTGGGGGGGGGACAGGATACTTACTATCAAAGGGTTCATCACACAGAGGAATCTGAGGGCTAGATGGCCAAATACTATGTCTCCTCATGGTCTCTACAGCCCCCAATATCCCAAGTGCTCCTGCAAAACACTTTTGAGACGCTCGAGTGCACTCTAGGGCTTGTGCTATGGCCCTTATCTTTTTAAAAAAAGATTTGTTATGTGTGTGTGTGTGTGTGTGTGTGTGTGTGTGTGTGTGTGTGTGTGTGTGCAGGTGTTCACAGAGGCCAGAAGATGGTGTCAGATATCCAGAAGTGGAAGTCATCAGGCAGTTGTGAGCCAATAGCTCGAAGTGATGATCTTCAAGCTACAGAGTGAGTTCCAGGCCAACCTCAGCTACATCAGATGGCCCCCAGTCAGGTCTACTAAGGTGAGGTGACTTAATGCTAGTCCCAGCCAGGCCTCATTCACATAGCTCTGCAGCACAGGCCAAGGCCTCATGTAAAACACCTCTGCACAGAACTTATCCTGACAGCACCAGGAACTTCCCTGCAGTTAAACTTAGACCAGACTTTTGAGTGATTCTCAAATCAAATTGCTGCAATCCCTAATCAGACACAGTTAAGGGTGAGCCAGAGAAGAAACAACAGGGTTGGAGACAGACACAGGAGCCACGCCTCGCGCAACGCCACTGCTGCTACGGTGACGTTAGCAATCACGAGTCGAATGCGCCACCGGGAGCGAGCACGCTCGCCCCAGGCCGCTCGCGAGGCGGGAGGCGTGCGCGCCTCCGCAGCGGGGGTGTGGCTGGGGCGTGGCCATGAGCCGGAAAGGGGCGGGGCTGCCGAACCGTAGGTGCTGCTATCCAGTCGCGACAGGTGCGCTGGACAGAGCGCAGGGTCCGTGTCCGTGCTACGCCGAGCACCGCCGACTTTCTAGTCTGGTAAGATCCTTCTCTCCCCGCATCCTCGGAGCCTGCGTGTGCTCGGAGATCCCGGCTGCACTCCGCACTCTTTCCGCGCCTTTTGAGACTGGGGTGTAGCAGGAGCGGGAACTTCTCCCCTGGGGGTCGGCAATAGAGGAACCTCCCACCTTGCGCTCGCCCTTCTGGGAAGTGCGTCGGGCTGAGCCTTTGCTGCCCCGGCCTAAGATCTTCCACGGGATGGTGGGAAAGTGGCAGTTCAGCAAAAGTCAAAACTCCCTCTCAGGGAGATAATCTAGCAACTCTTTTCTTCTTTCATTCAGCCGTTACCTCTCCAGTTTTTCTCCCTTCCATTCCTCCAGATGAACTCTGATGAAGACTTAACATAGCAGATCCCTACCCGCTGTCCTTCTCAAATCGCTCTCATGTACTTGAGCTGGGACTCGTTGCTCATTCACATCCGTAGGTGTTAATATTAGGTAACTGTACACCCCTGGCCACACACACTAATGCTGAAGTTTTGGGTGCTAGGAGTGAACCATCTGGCGCCCGTCCTAGCCTCCTTATTGGTGTCCAGAACAATGAGTTTAGCTGATCCTGGTGAGAGATATCGACTACTATTGTCTTGCAACTAATTCCAGCTTTCAAAAATCTGCCTAAATGGTTCCATTAACTTTACAAGTTAGCCAAAGGCACTGAGCTTATCACTTTTTAAGACAGTGCCCTTGGAGGAGAGACCATCATTTGCACCTAAGTGGGTAAGTGGAATACTTTTTATCTACATAGTTACTGGTGCAATATACTGTCCAGCTAGTGTCTACAGCAGGTCTTTCGGAGTTGTGTGAATGAAGTGTGATCTTGTTTAGACAACCTTCAAAAAGCTATAAAGTTGGCAGAAAAGTTTTCCTTCTTTCAAGAAACAGCTAATTCTCCTCCTTCCCTCCTTGTCCTTCAGCTTCTTTAAAAAGTTCCTGGCTGGCCCTGAACTGGCTACATGGACCAGGCAGACAGAGATGCCGCTGCCTCTGCCTCTACCTTCCAAAAGCTAGGATTAAAGGCGTGCTCCACTATCCCTGGAGGGGTGTGTGTGTATATGTATGTATGTATATAATATATATGTATATATATATTTGTGTGGTGTGTGTGTGAATGTATGAATACCAGCACAGTGTGCCATGCCAGATTGTGGAGATCAGAGGACAGCTTATAGAAATTGGTTCTCTCCACCTTGGGATTTGAAGATCCAACTCAGGTCATCAGGTTTGTGTAGCAAGTTTTCATATGCTGAGCCACCTTGTCAGCCCGGAAAGGTTTTTCTTTCTTTCTTTTACTATTTTACGTTTATTTGGTGTGTATGTGTATGTGCCATGGCATGCAGGTCAGAGGACAACTATGGGAGTCTGTTCTTCCACCATGTGGGTTCCAAGGATTCAACTCAAGGTATCAGGCTTCGTGGCAAGCACCTTTTACCTGATGAGCCATCTTGCCAGCCTAGAAAAGGGCACCTCTTTTTAAAGGTCTGCACACACATAGAATAACATAACATGTTACTAAATTATGTTAGGAATGGGGGGGAGCAAAACATTTTTTCAGTGAATTTTATGTCAATTCTTTTGTAGATTCAAAGTTCCAAAGCCTAAAAATTCCAAAGTTCTAAAAGAGCCTACAATTAAATAGATTAGGCAACACCACAGATACACCTTATAGTCTTGATGAAATTATTTGCTGTTATTGTTTTGGCATTTCTTCTGTTTGCCCCTCACCCCCAGAAAATCCCCAGGTGTGTTGTGTATCAAATTCTGGGGTATGTGCATGCTAGAAAAGCACACCCAACTGCTGTATATTTTACCACTCATATTTTTTTCCTTGTCTTTGGTCAGTCAACTCTATGGCCTTTTGAAACTGGGATTGGAGATGTTTAATTCTCCAGCAATTCATTAAACAGGTTGGTGGAGATATTTTCACTGTTAATGTGTGTTAGATGTAGAAATAGTGTTATCAGGTAGTCCCCGAACCATGGAGTCTCTGGGCCGAGACTGTGTTGGCATGGCTAGCAAAGCGGTGCCATTTTGTAAAAATTACCTCATTGTGTGACTTTGTTTGACTTGGTACATTCAGGCTTTGTTCCTGACTCTGGTTAAAGGTGGAGCCAAGTTTCAACCTAATAATTCTAGGAAGAGAAAGCTTCAGAAATGAAAACAATTCTATTAACAGCAGAGACACTTTTCACTGCTTAGGTACTCTTTAAATGTCTTGTTTTGACTCTGGGTATAGCTGTGTGGTGGAGTAGGTTTAGCATGTGTGAGAGCCTATGTCCTGTCCCCAGCACATGCGCATGCACAGGGGATATAAAGTAGAGCTTGTCTTAGGTCTGTTAGGGGAAGAGGTTGGAGCCCGTGAGGGTTCTATGGAAAGTTTTGATGATCTGATATCTGAACTTTATGGTAATCTTCAAAAATTCTTTATTTGGAGCTGGAGAGATGGCGGTTAGGGGCACTGGCTGTTCTTCCAAAGGACCCAGGTTCAGTGCTCAGAACCCACGTGATGGCTCACAACTGTCTGTAACTCCAGTTCCAGGGGTTCTGGTGCGCTGACATACATGCAGGCAAAATGACAATGCACATAAAAATAAATAGAATATCAGCATATTTAAAAAATAGAATATTTAAAAAAAAGGAGAACATGCTTCATTTGACACAGGCTTTTTGGTGTTTGGGAGTTTTTAGAGACTTATGTCTCATGAAGTTCATGCTAGCTTCAGACTGCTAAGTCGCAGAGGCTAGATAGACTTCAACTCTTGAATCTCTTGCCTCCACCCTCCATATGCCAGCATTGTATACCATTCCCAGATATGACTGTAGGCTTTTGTTCATTTCCCAACCATTTAACAGTACGCTAACACACAGAGGATGGCCATGATGCGGTCCCCTCCTACAGGGTCTGTTTTCCTTTTTAAAACAAAGGCTTGAGTTAACAGCATGTGTGCTAGTTGTTTCATTTGGTGATTTGAACCGTGGCACTTAGTGGACATATTTCTTTGACCTTGCTTGTCTGACTCCTTTGCTTCGTGAAAAGTGTTTTCTGTTAGAAAGTTTTATAAAAGCATCTAGTTTATTCAAATGTATTATGCATTTTGAATTTCTACAAATGTTTGTTGGAGTGTTTTCAGATATAATTAATATATATAATATAATATATAATATAATCTTAATTTTTCTGAGGGTTTCACACATCGACTGTAATCAGGTATAGTTCACTTTAAAGTTCTATGCCAGAGGTTCATCAAACACATAAACACACAGAGACAAGTGTTGAGTGTGGGAGATCTCTAGGCATTTTCACTGGAAATGACAACCACAAATTGAAGGGGAAAAAAGTCATTATTTAAGTTGAAAATGAAACTAGTTTCCAAGCTCTTTTTCCTTTTAAATTTTAAGTTACATTTATTTATTTTAGTTTGTGTGTGTGTGTGTGTGTGTGTGTGTGTGTGTGTGTGTGTGTGTCTGGGTGTCTGGATGTATGTATGTACGTGTGTGGGCACATGCATGCCATGGCGTGCCTGTGGATATCAAAGGACAACTTTGTCCACAGTGTAGGTCTTGAGGATTGAACTCGGGTTGTCAGGCCTCCTTATGGCAGGTGCCTTTCCCTGCCCAGCCAGGTTCCTGGGCCCCAGTCTCCAGGCTTTCCCCACTCTATATTACTACTGGAGAGATGACACCCATTTAAATGGAATTTGCTCATTCTACAGATAGAAAATGCTTAACTCTGTCCCTAAGATAATTTATGCAAGAAAAGACTAGTTTTTAGAAGGTCTCCATGTCCTTTAACTGTGTAGACTGTGCACAGTGACCTCATAATGTGGTTCAGTCACTTAACACAGACTCTCCAGGTGTTTAGTGACAAATAAGTGGCTTTAAGTAGTTTCTGCTTTACTATCTGGAAGTCGAGGTTCTTGGTAAGTGGTACTTTCAGCAGATCCTTCTGATGTGTTTGTGCTTGTGAATACAGGTGCCCAAAGAGACCAGAAGCATTAGCTTTCCCTGAATCTAGAATTACAGGCTGCAAGCTGCCTGATGAAGGCACTGGGGACTGATCTTGGGTCCTCTAGAAGAACTTACATGTTCTTAACCACTGAGCCATCTCTCCAGCCCATGAGACTCATACTTTTGTTTGAGTGAAGATTTTTTTTTTCACTAAAGGAGGAGGTCTAACCCAACAAGCAGTTGCTAGCCAGCATATCAGATGATCTCTTGTCTCCTTCAAACAATTTTTAGGGGCTGTTCTGTTCCCAGCATCCATACTGGGTGTCTCACAAGCCCTGTAATTCTGGTTTCAGAGGATCTGCTGCCCTCTTCTAGAGGTATCTGTACACAAATGGCATAAACTCTAATAGACACATTCACATAAATAAGAGTTAATGAAAACAATTTTTTAAAAAAGATCATATTTATTATATATATAGTGTTCTGCCTGCATGTATGCCTGCAAGCCAGAATTGGGCACCAGATCTGATTATAGGTGGTTGAGAGCCAACATGTGGTTGCTGGGAGTTGAATTCAGGACCTCTGGAAGAGCAGCCAATGCTCTTAACCTCTGAGCCATCTCTCCAGCCCTAAAACACTTGTTTTTAGTAACTGCACATGTTCACTTACAGTGCAGAAGCATGAGATTTACAGCCTCTTGATTTTCTTTTAAGAATTTGTTTTCCTGAGACAGGCTGTCACTGTAGTCCTTAGTAGCCTGGAACTCACCATGAAGACCAGGCTGAACTTGAACCCAGTGGTCCTCCTGCCTCAGCTTCCCCATGCTTGGATTAAAGCAGTAGTTCTCAATCTGTGGGGTCATGACTTCTTCGGGGGTTGAATGACCCTTTCACAGCAGTCACATATCAGATATCCTGCCTATCAGGTATTTACATTACAATTCATAGCAGTAACAAAACTATAGTTATGAAGTAGCAGTGAAAATAGTTTTATGATTGGGGGGGTCACTATATTAAAAGGTTGCAGCTTTAGGAA